ATTGGTGAAATGCACTAAAAGAAATTTTAATTCACTAGTGTCCTGTAGCTTGTTATATCCACACCTAAGCTAATGCTTCAGATCCTTCTATCTTTAGAATGTGATTAAGTGAGCGAGTTCAATAGAATTATGTAAAAATAAAATAACACAACATATATGGGGAACTATATAATTGAAATATTCAAGAACTTAGGGAAGGAATAAAGATCCATCCGCTCCAATCTTACGTCTAACAAAACACAGTAATTTATTTTCTCCCAGGAAGGAATAAGAACAAACTATCAACACAATTAACATTTATTTTCAAGTCTAGGAGGTTATATTAACACTAAAAGACATCGCCATCGCAATATCTGCATGAACTGTGTAGATGTGACGCTTCAGGGAACTCTTCTGTTTGCAACGATAGCTGCAGAAGGCGCAAGGAAGACTAGGCTCTTGTCCACACTCTCTCTTCACGTGTTGGGCCAAGTTGTACTTGTTCTTGTAGCGCCGGTCACACCGGGGACATTTGAACGGCTTCTCTGAATTTCCACTCTCTAGAGGAAAACTAGAAATGTTAGTGTTTGATTGTTGTTTAAAAAAGCAAATAGTAGAATTATTTTTTTCTATACACAGGCGAATGTACTTTGTATACACCTGACCAATGTAATAGTTATTACTTCAGGCTGTGGGTTGCGGCATTATCACATGGATAAAATCATTGGTGACTGGCGGGATTTGAACCTGGGACCTTGAGCACCGAAGCCCCGCACTCTACCCCTAGACCAGCTCGCTCCCCATGTTGAAGGCCCTTGGATTACTATAATTCTCATATAATGTTACCAATTTACCTTGTATTGTAATCCAAATTGGTTGCAGGTGTCACTTTACCTACATATAACACCTACAACCATGTTGGATTACATGATGACGTAAATTAAGTACTGTTAAATTAGACAGTACGGTTTCTTAAGCCAGCAGCCGAAAACAATTCAAGTTGTAGATTTAATCCTTCCTCATTTTGCATTCAGTTATCATTGATAAAAAATATAATAAAGATGAACTAAACATCCTCATCACAAAGCTACGCCTAACTTACTAAGGGACAATTAACCAGGAAGCACCAAATGGCAATCATTCCCTGATAGTCATAGCTGTAATTCATAATCAGACACTACACGTCATATTGACGATTAAAGCTTAAGAGAATCAAGACCTTTGTCCTTGAAATATGTTCTAAACTTGCGTTTACCTTTACTTTGTTTTAAATAAGATTAAAATGTTAACAAAAAGGTTAAATAAATACGAGAATACACCTTTCAGCAACAATACTTCTATTTTGTACGTTTTAAGGTATACAAATGTAACCACGTGTTAACTCTTAAATAAATTATGATAAAATATTCTGTCAAAGATGTATAAGGTAATGACTGAAAGAGTAAAAAATCCAAATGGAAAAATAGGAATTGTTTTCCATTGACTAGACTAAAGTTTGTTGGATTAATTACCTCTTCTACAACATTAACACAGTTTCATGTTTTAGTTGTTTTTCTAAGTTTTGTAAAGGATCTGATGATGGTATACCGAAACGGGTAATCCTGTTGGATTATCGAGAACCACTATAGGCAAGCTGCAGCTAAGTTACCTTCTTATTTTGATTTACATTAACACAGTAAAAACAGTGAGGTAGGTAATAAAAACATTAACATGATAAAACAACATTATCAATGAAATAATGAAACCCAACTAAAAATGACTAGCAACATTCAGATAAAATTTACAGCATTTTACACATAAACAATACGATTTCAGAGTGTGAAGTATACAGAGGAAACATTCAATGGTACGCTTAAGTTGTGTCTAGCACCAGTCACTTGTGTCTAGTTCAAATTCTATTGGTCGTCCCCTTTCGTTCTCCTCCCCCCCTCAACATCACGTACTATAGCGCTCACGCTGTTGGAAGAGCCTGTGCAGTACAAACATCGATGTATAATAACTCTACATCGATGGGAGTTATTATACATCGATGGGTACAAATGCTGCTGTAAACAATAGCCGCTAAGGCTCTTCCTTGCTTGGTACTTTTATATTTCCGCCCCACCATACCCGAGCAAAAGCGCACGGTTGTTCCATAAACATGTTTCCTCCATATATCTTACATCTCTGTGAGTATAATAAACTTTCAATTCAATGTGATGTTTTGTTCAAAATGTCTAACTATCTATTTCGCCTTATCTCTATGTACTGTGTACAAATGTCTCTTCATGGACCGCTTGAGCTTGGTGTTGTAGTTACACATTTTACACTGAAACTGAGGCAGTTTTCCACACTCGTATCTCCGATGTGAGACTAGGTTTCCCTTGTGTTTGTAAGTTCTTCCGCAGTCCATACAGCAGTACAAAGCGTCAGCACCGGTCAGCACAATCATATCTGAAATGGAAATAATATTTATATAATGTTAGTACTTGTGATTTAAGATAACGTAATTAGGTTTTGATTTGTTGAAATTTATTTTTTTTTTCTTGGGCATGATGATTGATAACGAGACAATCTCTCTAAAATGGCATATTTTTGTTGGGTTTTAGCTTTAAACAATGTCCTAGATAAAATGATAACTATGTTAAAAGTATTGTATTCTTTGTGATGTGTGTATATATTTTGCAACCTCAGGGTTTAGGGTTAGTGCTAGGAACTCTCTTTATTTTCCAATTTCCTTGCTAATCTTTTAATTTATGAGACTTTTTTTGTGATACTAAAGTGATAGCCTTTTGATTATTTTCTTTACCAAATGTTATATTAAATTTAGATAGGATTGTTCAAACAAAATTTATAAATTTAGTCTCTCAAGCACATGGCTTATAGCCTAATTTTAATGTCTGTTTGTTTCTAATTTCACTAAAAGTTTTTACTTGAATCAAAGATTTTATATAGGTTTTAACAACTATGAGGCTACTCGATCCACCTCAGAAATAATGTTCACAAATTTCCAACACCTAAATAGGCTAGTCTATAATAATTAGATGGGGATTACCAAGTTCAATTTTCTTCTCTGAAAAACCATTTCTTCTTGCCTGTATGGTATACAAAAATTATTCGTAATGGTTCCAGGTCTTCTTACTATTTGAAATAATAAACTATTTTGGTTTAGCTTTCACTTTTTATTAGAACATATTAATATTAAAACCACACAAATTTGTTTCAAACTATTACCCAGGCTATTTCATGGCAGAAGAAAAAGTCCAGTTGCTAACACATGTTCAACAGCAACAATGCCTTCAGGTCTTCTAGATCTTGAAGTTCACTTTTCACTTTTAGTCACTCAGGCCAATTAATATTATATGAAATTTAATTTGGGTAAATTACTTTTTGAGATTTATTTAATTATATATATATTTATTTTTATTTTAGCTTGTGTTTGAAATAGATTGTAAACATAATATATTTAAAATAGGCTGTTAGGCTTAATTGACTGGTAATAGGCTATTTATGTACAGGGTGACACAAAGGAACCGGACGTTTTTTAAACAGCTGTTCCATTGTTGGTGCATGTGGTAGGAAGATTAAAGTTATGTCATTACCTTCAGTGAGGCTTGCCATTTTTGTTGAAATGGCTCAGTGGGCCCTAGACCATCGCGTTTTTGCATACAATACTTTGCTCCGAAATTGTGAATCAGTCGTCAAATCCAGCGGGAATTTAGTCGACATTTTAATATTGAACGCCATGAAACGGTTCCAAGCCGAAATATGCTATTAAGATGGGTTTTAGAGTTCCAAACAACTGGGAATATAACAAGAAAGAAACCACCAGGCCTTGTTAGAACTTCGAGAACACCCAAAAACATCGCCAGAGTGAGAGCAGTATTGAATGAATGTTTCCTAACAAGGTGATTTCTCGCTTTTTTGGTGACATACCGTGGCCGCCAAGATCACATGGCTTGTCCACTAGTGATTATATCCTTTGGTGGTTTCTTAAGGAGCGTGTTCATGCTCACAAACCACGCACTCTATCGAGGATTTGAAGTTTGCAATCACAGAAGATATCAATGTCATTGAACAAGACCTCCTGACCCGATTTTCAGATGATTTTCAGGTTTAGAAAGAACATTTGTAGATAAGTACATGGCCACCATATGCATGACTCATAAAAAAATGACTTTTGTAACAAATGGCAAATGTTTACCTCACTATGTACAATATTAAAACTATTTTATTCCTTTTAACTACTGTGTACTACTTATTTAAAAAACGTCCGGTTCCTTTGTGTCACCCTGTATTACTTAAATATACAAAAATTTATGAACTGTTGCAGTGTGTATATAATTGTGCTGTGTATGTAATTATAATTATGTGTATGCAATTATGTAATTATGTTGGGTAATTAAGTTCACCCATTTTCGAAAGCAAAACCATGAACATACAATTCTCCTACTCAAATTTTCTTTTTTGTGTCCAAATATTCTACAAATTTTTTAGTTTAAAATAGCTCATACTTTTCAGTTTGAATACTAATTTAAGTACTTAAACAGAATAGGAGAACACAATAATACAGCAAAAAATATATCATTAGCTAAATTTCACAATGTATTTTTTTCAGTTAACTTATAAGTCCTAATTAATTTTAAAGTAATTATCTAAAGCAACAAACACTAATGGCCCAAATATTTAAATCACAATATTTGAGACTGCTAAATCAATTCATCGTGATGCAATAAAAAATATATAATCCAACTTTAGGTTGATAGGAAATAATGGATATGAGTATAGAATTGAAAATGTATGACTTTGATACTGACTCAATCAAACTCAATGCCTAAAGTATTGCCCAGCATCCTAATGTTCAAGGCACTATTGCAAGTTTTAATACATTTGACAATGGTAGTTCATTGAAAATAGAAACTTCTACAATTTACATTTATTTTACAACAAAGTACATGTTGAAAAAGAAACATAATTTTGGTTAATAGCAGGTGAAACATTTCATTCAATCGTCATGTTGTGTTTCATTGCCAAATGGAGTTTCAGTTTGTTCCTCCTCTTGGCTTTGAAGGGGCATAGTTGACAGGGAAAGGCAGCTTCTTTTCCACAGTCCATTTTGATATGAGAAGTGAGGTTTCGCTGGTATCGATATTGTCGTCCGCAGTTCGGGCAGGTAAACGGGCCATCTGATCCTTGGGCTGGTGCAAAAAACAAGTCAATTGAAACACATTATATTCCATAGAAATATAATCGTTCACATAGTGGATGTTAAAAGTACATAGGTAAAATTGTGATTGTAAGAATTAAGTCTTTGACTCCGGCGGTGGTGGACTTATAAACACCATTTTACCAATTGTTGAGTTAAAATAAATCCTTAAGAATTATGTCAAGCTATTTTTACGTACTAAGGCTTAAAATGACTTGTCTGTAACTATTGAAATCATAAAGCAATATGACGGTAATTCCATAATTATTCTATATTCAAAATTTTACACCTACTTTAAGATTTAGACGTAAAGATAGTATCCAAATTTAAAGATAAATTATTTGGATGATAATCTCTACCTCATTCTTTACACATTTTAAAGAAATTAACATTATAATTTATTTATTCTTTATATGAATGTATAATTTAGAACCTCAAATGGACGTTTTACACGTATTTAAAAATGATTCCAGTTTATTTTCATTTTTACACTGTTACAGTATTATTAATTTATTGTACAAGTGAAGATATGTTTTAACAAAATGCTCTATAGCTAATTTCTCAATACATACTTTGAAAAGTTGCAGGGAACAGGGTAAGTACAACAACGTTTGACTAATGGCAAAATTTAATATGAAAATGGAAAACAAAATACTTTATAATTAAACTACCACATCATAGAAAAGCAGATTTTTTATGCTTCGAGCCCATGTGAAGCTTCAAGTTTGGCATTCTTGATGTTTTGTAGGGACACAAAAAACAACTAAATCTTCCTTCCCTTATTACAATCCTGCCTGATATGGCACAGCAGAGACTTCCGTTTCTCAAAAATCTTAGGACATGTAGGACACCTGAAGATGCCATCAACTGTGGTGAAGGGAACTGGAAGAAATCTCAAGTTATTGTTATCTATATATTTAATACACAGTTTTAAGTCGGTTTTCTCAGTCAATACTGAACCGGTCTACAAGATTTATTTCTCAAATTGAAGGGGATAATGCGTAGATTTGCCGAACTTCCTTAGAATTTACGCATTTTCTAGACCACACAACCTAGAGCGCATCAAAGGTCGAGTCAAAAAAATTCTTATTGATGAATATAATACCAAAGATAAAACATAATATATTTCCCATCCTTATTGAACAGCTGAAGCAAATTTTATTGTTAGTTCCGTCCGCTTTTCTGTAGATGTCGTGTTTTGTTTACAAATTGTTTCTATTATTTTAAGGTTAGTTTCTCATTATTTGTGTCTCACTGTTTGGTTATATAGCTAGTTGTTATAATATTGTCAGGTGTTGTTCCTAAAGAATACAAAATAAAACCTTTGAGTCAAATCACATTATAAATACAATAATTGATGTGTCAGTATCTTGAATAGTAAATTTCATACTTTTTTTAGCATTCAATTCAAATAACAATTGAAGAAGAGAAAGAAATTTTTAAAAAGTTTTGAGTACAATAATTTTATCAACATACTTGGCAACATCAAGGTCCCTTCCATGGTTTCGAAAGGGTATTTATTATAGACGTTTTCAATCTAAAAACAAAAACGTTCAAGACAATATTAAATAATCCGTGTATAGTAACAAAAAATGTAAATTTGCACGATAAAAGGTATATAACGATGTTATTTAAAAATTACAAATACAAAACATGTTGGATTTGAAAAGTAAAAATTATTTAAATTATTATAATGAAATAAGAAAACATGTTAACATGAGCAACAAAAACAATATAATAAAAAAGTAAACTGAAAGAAAAGAAAACATATGACAAAAACACACACACATGATACGAGTAGAGACAGTTCAAAGGAAAAAGTCTTAAAGGTCTTCAACAAAACCTTACATTATAGTTTAAAAAATGAATATTTACAAATAGCGAAGTACAAGAAATATATCAGTCTAGGTATGTGATTCAGGATCCCTAAAAAAAATAGATAAGATTCGAACAAAGCAAACCTTTACTTGGTAAGAAACGCTTAGCTAAATTTCTGCACATCGTGTCATGTGCTAGAAAAATATTTATCAAATGTAAAAAAACCTGACATAATAAAAACCCAGCTTTGTAACTTTCAGTCTTTTAGAAACATCAAATCGTATCACAGCCAACTTTCGGCGACTTATACAACTTGTGTATTACAGCCATGTGGTTCTGCAAGTGGTGTTTTCTTCTTGCTTTGTAGGGACATTCGGGACACAAGAAGTTGGCTTCTTTTCCGCATTCATAGCGAAGATGTGCCTTCAGATTATGTTCCAAGGTGTAGCTTCTACTGCACGAAGGACAAACATAGGCCTTTGGTCCGAATGAATTGCGCTCGAGATATTTAGGAAAGAGTCCTGTAACACAATAATTAACTGATAAGCTCGTCCACATAGGACGAACATTGCTCATGAAACAGTTTGTTTCCGAAATTATCAACCTTACAGATAGTTTCTGTTCACTAATAACACTATGAAATTAGGTTCCTAAAAAGCTTAGATTGTGTAAAGAGAGTTTGTTTACTGGTAGGATCTACACAACGCACGTAGCTGACAGTTTATAGATTAAAGTGTTGAGATTATAGGTGACAAAATAACTATGTGGTTTAAATAAATTCTTCTTAATTTAACAAAAATTATCTTTATTCACGTTTTTCACAATATTTGATTTTCTATGACCGGAATATATGAATACATAGGAAATTTTACTAAAAAGAACATGTTTCGACTTCAATGTTTTATGTCTGAAAACGTTTAATACAAAACGGATCCAATAGTTCACAAAAACCCTGACAGAATATTAAAATACATTCTACCATTGCAACACTTTTATTTTCGGTATTGTTTATTTTGAATAACAAAAGCAAGCTTCAAGAATAATTATGAAGATATCATCAACAAAGGTTTCACAACATGAGCAATATGTTTTCCCATACATCTTTAAATAATGTGTTCAAGGAGGAAAAGCCAGCTTAAACAGATCATAGTGTTTCATCGCCATGTGGTTCTTCAAGTGAGCTTTTCTTTTGGCTTTGTAAGGACACGCTGAACACTGGAACTGGGCTTCTTTTCCACACTCTAGCCTCACGTGAGCGAGCATATTGCGCTTCTGACTGTAGCTCTTCCCACACATGAAGCAAGAAAAGCGCCCATCCTCCGTCAGCAATGTGGCTACGACTGAGATAACAGCAGTGTGAGCAATAGACAAGAAGAGTGCAGAAGAAAATATTAGATTAAGCAAAGGCGGCCCTAATAGGCGAATCCGAACAGTGCCTTCAGTCCCTGCCATCTCTAGGGCCGCCACTAAGATTAAGCACATGAGACAAATTTACGGAAGGTGATGAAAATTTATGAAAGGTAGGTAGAAAAAGGTGGGGTTAAAAATGGTTTGAAGAACTATTTGTTTTGAAAAGATGGTTTTTCATTTTTCTAAAATTTTAATATTTTTCAATGTTTCTGTTTTGACTTAAATATTTCTTGTTTTTGTACTTATCTTCTATTAAGGAAACTCTGTCATATCTAACAAAGGAAAATTTGGAGTAGCGTAACCTCAAAAATGTGAATACTATGATAACAACTTTACTATATCAATAATTGTAAATTATAAAACATTCCTAAATGTTTGGTTGACTTCCCATTCTTATTACTATTTTATTTTTCAAAGGTAGAAGGATAGACAAAAATATATAAATATATGGATTATCTTACAATAAATCTATTTGTAAACAATTGTTAACAGAGCAAAACCTAAATTGTTATGCAAGAAATAAATAAACTTACATAACTCTGTTTAATGTCCTTGCAATGAAAATTCAAATTAGTGAATATATATGCAACACTAACTGATGAACTATAAGATGGGCCAGATAATGAATATTAGGAATAAAAAAGATGAACGTATGTCAAAATGTTTATTAAAAATTTAGTCTATACTTAACAGTGCTTACATTTTAACAAGTGTGTTTGTTATTAAATACAACAATTTTCCAAGATTTCCAACGATCTTTAGTATACATCAATGTATATATAAAAAGTAAGAATCCAGTGTTTAAATTAATAACTACAATTTTAAGGGATAATCAGAGCAATTTGTAAATATAATTTTTGAGCTAGCACAGTATCTTTCCAGCTTTTCTATAACCAAAAGACACTCAAAATACGTGTCAATTTGGGCATGATGAAGTTCTTACAAGATCAAATATCAAACAGTGCAATACACACTTAATATGATATAATCTTCGTGAGAAGACCACAAATAATATAATAATGCAATAATCCAATATTTTTTTAATCTTCGTTTAACTAGCTCATCAATTTAAGGTAGATCAATAAAAATTCAAATTCTACTGTTAGTTTAAGTGGCCTGCTGTCTATTAGAACAAAACATAATGTCGGTAACCTTGCACAGTTAAAAAATATACATAAAGTTAGTTATAAGGATTTTTTTTAGAAAAGAATTTATCAAAACCTACCCTAATTGAACGTGATGAATTCAAAGAACCCAAAAGGTCTATTTACACAACTAAATTATTCTTCTTCCTACATAAACAGCTGTTCATAAATATAATAAGGAGCGCATTTTTAATTGACTTGTTTCCACATGATTAACAAAAAACTATGTTAATATTTTTCATCCAAGCGGGACTAATATGAGCACATAGTTTCCTTCAAAGTAAGCACATAAAAATCACACATTTTATAATACAGTAACTAAAATAAAACTTGCAAATTAAAATGAAGGTTCACTTAACTGAAATAAATTATGATAAATATAGAAACACAAATGATATTTGTATTTCATTTTCAAGAAAGATTAACCTGTGTGATGTTTACCACTGAACTTTTATTTTCTGAATCATCGCTAACCCGTAGAGAATGTTAGCATCAAAATATTAATTTAATCTAATGTTAATGTTTGAGCGCCATATGGGTTCTCAGTGTACCGCGTAACTTAGCTTTATAAGGACATATAGGACATGAAAACTGAGGTTCTTTGCCACATTCGTATCTAACATGAGCCTGGAGGTTACGATTGTGCTTGTATCTTCTTCCACAACCACTACAGATGAACCACTTGTCTTCGGAGTTCTTCTTCTGATCTTCCACTCCATACAGTCCGTCCCCACGCTTCACAGCTCCTAGGCTCCGCATGTACAGGTCGTGATTTTTCACATTCAGACTTGGCCAATGCCCTGTAAAATACACATTAAGAATTTAAATGTTGGTAAGAATCATAGGATAAGAAACATAGTGTTGAATTCATGCTGATTTACAATTCCAAATTTTAGGTTATACTTGGTAACTAGTACTAGTACTGATTTTTATATTAAATTTATAGTGTAACTGGGTAGACACGAGAAATGCTTGAATTTGTATCTTAATTCACACAATTTAAAACTCACAATCTTTAAAATTCTATATTTTTTTTCAGTTTAAAGATAATCCATGATTAATATCTTTAAAATTAGCAAAATCAAGAAGTCTAGTTTACTGTAAAGCCATGGTAAAAATTAGCTTACGTTCTCTCAACCATACTTTTAAGTTTTTAACTGAAATAGTACATATAATTGTAAACCGTTATTAAAAATTGATATTGTAAACATTTAACAAAAACCAATGAAATCCTTTTCCTAATATTTAGAAACCATTTGAGGAAGTAACACATAGTTTTTTAACAAAAATAATTAACATTTAGCTGGGAAACATTATTTTTAAGGTATGGTTATTAGTGTATAGAAATTTGTAGATTTTAATCAACATGCCACTGGACTTTTAATTACATATGAAAGTAGAGTTCCAGTATAGTTCATTAGAAGATTGTTATAATTTAGGCGATTGGATGCAAGTGTTAACTACAGTTATGGTTCCAATACTAACTACAGTTTCGTAAGCATGATACCATGCATGAGGTTTATACTGAGTCAAGGTACCGAAAGACTGCTTAAGAATGATCCTTTACCATACAAATTACTACATTTAACTCTTACATGTTATTTTTACCCTGATAAATATTATTGAAAGGAACGTGTTCTTACCTTCAAATTTGAAATTATCAAGTTTTACAGACCTAAACAATAAATAATTAATACAGTGTTAAGTGGAAAGAAATATTTTAACAATAATAGTAATGAGCTTCATTGATATAGTGAATCTGTGATACACAAAAGAGATTCATAACAAATACTTTTACACTTTTACGTTCTGATACATAACAAATATTTGTATGAGTATCTAACTGGTAGTACAGCCTTAACATTATTAACAGCAGAGTAAATTGTTTTTAAACCACCCATGTTATTGATTTATAAGATAACTCAAATATCTTAAAATATACAGGGTTAATATTCTCACATGGATAGCATACATATTAACGATAATTTATTTTTATTACAGCTTTCAATAAAATATTTGCCAAAATCAATCATTTGTTTAACTATGCAAAAAAGGTTGTTATAAAAAAAATATACACAGGCAAAGTTTTATTAATGTGTAATGTAAAATAACAAATGGTTCATAACTTGTCTCAGAAATCAGATACTGTATTTACACTTACTAACAAATAACATTAAAATATATTTCTTATCCTACTTGTACTTAGTTCAAACCCGTTTTCTGTTTATGTCTATAATAGTCTATAATTCTATAATGGTATTCTCAATATTAAAGAGCGGTGTTGGGGATGATAATAGTCTAATTAAAAATAAAATAGACTAGAAATCAAGATTTGTACTTGCTGCTCTGTTTTAAATGGTTATAAGTTACAACAATATTCTACTTCCTTCAAGCATTCAGTTTTGCCCTTCAATACAAAATGCACTAACGTCGAATGCGTTTTCCATTCCTGAAGTTTTAGTTCATTTCACAATAATAAAGAAAATACAGTATTTCAATCAAGTTGCAAATGCAAACACTAACATTACGATTTTTTTATAAATTAAAATTTTAATCTTGCACCACTATTTTAATTATGAATAATTAAAATCTGTTATGCAGTTCATATAAATAAACTTAAATGTTAGCAAACACGCTGGAGTACACTAGAGTCTCCTTCAGCAATAATCCCTTAAAAAAGTTCACAATACAAAAAAGTTTTGAAATTCAAAGTCCGTGCGTGATAAGTATTTTCTACTTTTAATACTTTAAAATAATATTAAATTCATAGGGTTTCGTCACAATTTTCTACTACGATTTATATTATTTTCCAACAACAAATAAAACAAAACTACTGTAAAAAATCCAATTACAATCTGCATATTCGACTAATCTTTTATGCATCACTATAGTTCTTAAAAATTAGCTACCTTTGATATAACAAGTAAGTATAATCATAAAAACCAGCATTTACTGATTGCCCTGAAACTATTCAAGGGGTGTTGGTTGTTGAGCAAACGCTATCACCATAAACAAAATGTTTAATTCCCATGTGGGTCTTTAGTGTAGTCTTCCTCTTAGCCTTGTATGGGCAAAGGTTACAAGCAAACTGTGGGTCCTTGTTGCACTCTAGTCGTTGGTGGACCAGCAGGTTGTACCTCTGACGATAACCCCTTCCACACTGCTCGCACACGTGCTTGCCTGTAAAACACGTTATATATTAATCTACAACTCGTCATCCTGCGAAAATTTCAATGTTCAAGATTTGTTCGAACTGAAGTACGAAACATATTTGATAGGAAATTGATTATTTGAATATGAGAATGGATTTTACTTGTATATCAATCTTAGGCAAACAGTATTTTTAGTGGGGACTTTTTTATATCTTGGTATTTATTGTTTTCAAATTTTTGTCAGTGGTTTTTACCATTTTAAAAAATTTCTTCTTCTTTATTGGGAGGTAATATTTCCTAAAACCGATTTCAGTTTAGCTCTGTTTATAACTGACAGGTATATAAACGGGCAACTGTTATTAAAATTGTTTTTAAAATGACCTTATGTGTTTGTTCTGTGAATAAGTTGAGAGCAGTCTTATTGTGTGTGTCTTTGCCTTTAGTAAAATCCTTCTTTAAAAAGGAGTTATTTTCAATAATGGACATGTTATTTAGTTTTTAGCATGTCAATTAACCATGAAACACAAGCTTTACAATTCAATGCATCTAAAGACATGCTCAAATGGATAACTTGTATTTTTGTTTCAACATTTTAGGAACTTGATTAAACAGTATTCATGTAAAAGATTTGTATAAAAATTACACTAAATAATTTTATAACAGAATCATAAACACGGGTACTCACCTTGGGTATGTTAAATAGGTGCGAATTCAAAAAAACCCCATTGTTTAACAATATTAAAAATATATATTTATGAAAATCTTTATAAAATTCACCTTTAGCATTACAAATATGTCCAATAATAAATAATATACACAAATATATCCTTTTGTAACCCGTCCATGTCTAAATCTTCCGGCTGATAGGCTTTTAAGGCCTCAGAAACATAATAAACTACATACAACGTAACCGACTTTAAAGCTGTTAAGTATATAAAAAAAATAGAAACGAATTGACCATCCTACGCAATGAAAAATAAACATACTAAGAAAGCAAGTGTTTGGTTTTCACAAATAAATAAATATTTCAAATGTTACAATCAAATTAGTAGAAAATTGTAAATTTAACAATCGTATCCACAATTCTATTAAACCGTAGTATTTTGATATTTTCTTTGAGGCTATAATTTGCTAGATCCGTGTATTCGCAAGCTTTGGATCACTTCAAAACAAAGTTATGTTTAAGGAAACAATGTTTCTCCAACTGATTACGCCTCTTCGCCTTGTGTGCGCACAGAGGACAAGAGAACTGCTGCAGCCTGTCGCACTCTAGTCGGACGTGTTCCAACAAGTATGTGTAACTCTTGCCGCACGTCAAACACGTGGACTTCTTATCTGGAACAAAGTAAACGGACCAAAGAGGGTTATTGATAATTTATATGAATAATGTGTCAAGGGATGAGTGAAACAGAGGATCAGGTGTAGGTGTTAGTTCTTGAATACAAAAAAAACTTATGGAAATATACAAAACAAAATTGTAAAAAATATAATAAAATTTAAAATTGTGTAACTGTTAGCTAAAAATTTTTTCAACTCTTTTTAATCAAGTTCTACACTTGATGTGGATAGTTTGTATACCTAAACATTGTTGTACTTGTAAAACTTAATTAAAATGCAAACAATTAAACCGATAAGTAGCAATAAAGTTTATTATGGTAGAATTTTATTTTCTCTGGGAAACTAGTAAATTAATGTAACCGATCTTCAAGTTGTTAGTCTAAGATGAATGCATATTTACAGTAATGATTGTTAACCAAATCATAAGCAAATGTTGTTAGATCCACCATGACTTTGGACACTTAGTAATTTAATTATTGTTTTTATTAGGAAACGAATGCGAGGTACGTAATAGTTTAGTGGAAACGAATAGTTAGGCGACCTAAATCAAACACTAGACTGTACGATAAAAATACTTCAAAGGAATAAAACACCATTGTATGAAAAACTTATATATATTTCAGAAACACAAATTTCCCTTCTAAGTAAGCCTAACTTATTTGAAACATTACACTAGACACCACTTCAACATACTATTGATTAACATTAATCTTTTCTTCTTTTCTCGATGAAAACAAACATTTTATTGGTCTTTTCAAGAATAGCGACATCACAAGTTAAATTATATCAGGTCAATTGGGTTAGGTTAGGTCAGTTTATAGATCAGTTTACAGAACCTTTTACAGATTACAGTTTACAGATGCGATACTCCCCAGTGTGGATTAACGTCCGCACGGGTGAGTACTACGACTATCCGCAGTGCTTTCCTGATAATTAGACCAATTCTTAATTACCAAGGCAAAAATGTGGTTCGGATTCCACTATAAACTGTAGGTCCCTTAGTTGCCATTAGCTGTATGGGCTTATAATTAACAGCTGTGTCTAAGGAATGTCGGCCTTAGTCACTAAAAAGACTACAAGATCGCGCCACTCATCCTACACTCATCTCCATTCATACTTGGCTTAAAATACCTACTTTGTATGGTCGCCATTTCATAGAACAGTATTAACAGTATTTTTAGCACATGACAATTTGGAAAAGGACTATCCTTTTTGAAAACACGCTATTTTATGAATAGCTGACGAACTTTTAAGTCAATATACTATCTGGATCAATTGGTATGAATGTGCTGAAGTCGTCAGAGTGCATGGAGTGCTTGAAGAGGTAGTGGTTCTTCAGATGCGCTTTCCTCTTGCCTTTATAGGGGCAGATATGGCAACCAAACCTCGGCTCTTGCAGGCACTCGAACCTCATGTGTTTCAACAAGTTGTGTCGTTGCTTGTAGCTGCGCTCGCAAGTTGGGCACTTGTGTCGCTCTGATGATAAAATCGTAAAGCAAATTAATACATCAAGTAAAAAAGATGTATTTTAATATGTCACCAACTTAATTAAACTTGAAAACTATAACTCTCACTATTACAGTATGGGAGGATTGCCATTCTATAACATTCAGTGACTCATGGTCCACCAAAAATGTAATTAAATATGTTTACCTATATATGAATATATAGGACGAGTACATACATTTTTTATATCCCACCCATTTTAGGATACAAGACTCTAGCCTAGTACCGTTATTGCATTACTTCAGGATAGTTCTAGAGGGTGCATATTATCACTAAGATAAATCCCATTAGTGATTGGTAGGATTTGAGCCCAAAACCTCAAGGCTGAAGTCCCGCGATCCAAGTCTAGAGCTAGCTCCCTTTATGTGTCAATATCAGATGTATCAAGTGTCAGTATTATTGCATCGTAGACACTCATTGCAATGGTCAGGATTTTCGCAAACCTCTTGATGCATATCCTTAACTTTGGTTTTACCTTGATGTGCCTGTGCGTGAAACGTATCCAGTAAAGCAAGGGGCAAGCCGGTACAGTACAAGGGTGAACTGATAAAAAGTAGTGACAGTGACCAGGATCAGAACCCACGACATTGATGCCTTGGACACACAGTCCGTGGCGCTACCGACTGAGCCACTGACTCACCAAGAAAGTTATTTACACAGATCAACATCAGACAATTATCGCAGTCAAGTTGATTGAGTAACGTGACGACGGACTGGCAGTGGAGTCATTTTGGTAGGTGATTAGTCTGAGAAGTTTTAGGGTAGTATAGAAACCACTACTCAAGAACACGTTTCAACAGAAAATCGTCTACTTAACAAAATACTACTATGTTAATAATTCCAAAAACATATTTTATACTAACAATACACAATAAATTCCAGTTAATAATAACATGGTCAAGTATATTTGCAAACATAGGTTTAATTTCTATAGAAAAATAAATACACTGTTAAAAATTTCCCATATTTCTAAAGGAAAAGGTTAATATATTTAAAATATTTAATTCAAACTATTACAAGTGTTTTGATTTGCAAAATAGTTATGTTTAACAGCACAATGTTTCCTGAGGTCAGAGTTACGTTTTGTCTTGTAAGGACATAGAGGACATGGAAATTGAGGAGGAACGCCGCATTCCCATTTCAAATGTTTCTTAAGGTCACTTTTATTCTTGTAGCTGCCGCTGCATCTTGGACAGTAGAATCGCCCATCCTTCACCAAGGAGTCAAAACTATCGTCACCTAAAGACCAAGTATAAATTAAGTTATACATTTGTAATGAATCAGATGTAATGAATTAAGTCTGGTACTGATCGTTTCATGCCAAAGATAGATCAACCATTTGTCAGATACATATTTTGTACATTTTAATTAACATTGTTTAGTTAATATATTTGAATAAACTCTTAACCCGTGCCATTTAGATTCGTTTGATCAAAAATAACTGTGATAAGGTATTATAAAAAAGACATGCACAATTTTTTAGACATTTTATTTGTATAAAAAACATAAAGAGTTATTGAAAAGTCAAAAACAAATAAATTAAGGGTCTTGTGAGTACATTTATAATCTTAAAGTATGGAAACATAGTGAGGATAGATTCCTTCAATTAAATTAACAGAATACAATAACTATAAAACTAATATGTTTTTTTATTTTATTTTATCTGTAGTTTTTCTTAAAAAGGGAAACTGACGTTAACAATTGAAGGCACTGTATACTCGTAAAAAGTTGTCTAACTGATATAATATACAGGGTGTATATATAGTACCGCACGGGCATAATATATTTTCTAAACGACAACAGATAAATCAATAAGATTTGGTACATCAACACCACACCTAAAAATCTACTTTTTCAAGGAACTATCAATTTTCTGTCATATCATGGGGACGTCCCGCAAGGAGTCAGAAGGAAACTTTAAATAGAAGCATAGGAAGGCATGTACATCAAATTAAAGGTCTTTACTAGCAGAATATAATGCCGCAAATTTGAACTCAAACGGACAACCGAGCCAATAATGACAGTTGTTCAAAGATTAATTTAATTTGCATTGATATTATACGCTTACTCCTCAGGGGGACAGCCTTAGGAATCGGATGAAAATTGTTAACGAAAGCATAGGTCGATATGCACATCAAATTAAAGGTCTTCACTAGTAGATTACAATGCCGTAAATTCATGCTCAAAAGAACGCCTGGGTAAAAAATGGCAGTCGTTCAAAGATTCAAAATGGCGGATTCAAGAAATCTTTGAACGGCTGCCATATTGTGCAGGATCAACCTTTTGAAGTGCGATTTGCGGCATTGTATTCTACTAAAAAAGACCTTTCATTTGATGTACATATTGACCTATGCTCCTATTTAAGATATCCTTCTGACTCCTTGCAGGACGTCCCCATGATATGACAGAAAATTCATAGTTCAATGAAAAAGTAGATTTTTAGGTGTGGTGTTGATGTACCAAATCTTATTGATTTATCTGTTGTCGTTTAGAAAATATTAAGCCCATGCGGGACTTTATATATACCCTGTTTTATCTTTTATAGGAGGGGTCTAACATAATTTACAATTCCTACTTAAATACAGTATTCACAAATGTGTTAATGTACACAATTATGAAATGTGTAACTGTGTTAATTTGCAATCAAGTTATGTTTAACACCACAATGTCTCCTGAGGTTAGAGTTACGTGTAAACTTGTAAGGACATAGAGGACATGGAAATTGACGAGGTACACCACATTCCAGTTTCAAATGTTTCTTCAGGTCATGTTTATACTTGTAGTTGCAAGGACATCTTGGACAGTAGAATCGTCGGTCCTTCACTAAGGAGTCAGAACTATCGTCACCTAGAGACCAAGTATAAATTAAGTTATACATTTACAACCAAACGGATGTAATAAATAATAAGTCTGGTACTAATTGTTTAATGTTAATGACTAGCGGTGATTGTAATACTTAAAATGTATAGATCAGCCAAAGAACGTTTGTCGGATATATATTTTGTATACACACATACTAACATTGTTTAGTTAATATATTTGAATAAACTCTTATGTCGTGCAATATCGATTTGTTTGATCAAAAATAACTGTGACAAGGTTTTGCAAAAAAGACATGCACAATGTTTTTGACATTTTATTATTACAAAAATATAAACGGGAATCGAAAAGTCTACAAACAAATAAATTAAGGGTTTAATGAGTACATTTTTAATCTTGAAGTATGGAAAACTAAGTGAGGATGACTTCCAATAAATTAGCGGAATTTAATAACAATAAAACTACATAATATGTTTATTTTATTTTATTGGTAGTTTTACTTGATAAGGGATGCTGACGTTAACACTTGTAGGCACTGTACTCGTAAAAATTTGTCTAACTGATATAATATCTTTTATCTAGGAGGACATAGAGGTTAACCTCATGTCTGACTTAATTTACAATTCCTATTTAAATGCAGAATTCACTAATTTGTTAATTTTCAATAAAGTTATGTTTAACAGCACAATGTCTCTTGAGGTTAGAGTTGCGTTTAGACTTGTAAGGACATAGAGGACATGGAAATCGATGGGGTACACCACATTCCAGTTTCAAATGTTTCTTCAGGTCAAAGTCATTCTTGTAGTTGCAAGGACATCTTGGACAGTAGAATCGCCCATCCTTTACTAAGACTAAGGAGTCAGAACTATCGTCACCTAGAGACCAGGTTTAAATTAAGTTATATATTTAGAACGAATCAGATGTAATAAATAATAAGTCTGGTACTAATTGTTTCATGCTAATAACTAGCGGTGATTGTAAAACTTAAAATTTATAGATCAGCCAAAGAACGTTTTGTTGGCTACATATTTTGTACATTTTAAGTAACATAGTTTAGTTAAGATATTGGAATAAACTCTTAAGTTGTGTAATTTCGATTCGTTTAATCACAAATTACTGTGATAAGGTTTTTTTAAAAAAGACATGCACAATTTTTTAGACATTTTATTAGTATAAAAATATAAAAAGTTATTGAAAAGTCTACAAACAAATAAATTAAGGGTTCTGTGAGTACATTTTTAATCTTTAAGTATGGAAAATTAAATCAGGATGGATCCCTTAAATTAAATTAGCAGAATTCAATAACCATAAAACTTATGTTTTTTTTTTTTTTATTCTATCCGTAGTTTTTCTTGATAAGGGAGACTGAAGTTAACACTTGTAGGCACTTTATAATTGTAAAAAGTTCTCTAATTGATAAAATATCTTTTATCTCTTAAAGAATAATGTTAGGTCTAACGTAATTTACAATTCCTAATTAAATACAGTATTCATTAACAAATGTGTTAATTTACAAAAATGTGAAATGTGTATCTGTGTTAATTTGCAATAAAGTTATGTTTCATAGCACAATGTGCCCTGAGGTCAGTGTTACGTTTCGCCTTGTGAGGACATAGAGGACATTGGAATTGACGAAGTACTCCGCATTCCAGTTTCAAATGTTTCTTCAGGTCATATTTATACTTGTAGCTGCTGGGGCATCTTGGACAGTAGAATCGCCCATCCTTCACCAAGGAGTCAAAACTATCGTCACCTAGAGCCCAAGTATAAATTAAGTTATACATTTGTAACGAATCGGATGTAATAAATAACTAGCTGTTACCCACGGGCTTCACCCCGTTTGACATCATAAGTAAGTATTAATAAAACTATTGATTGGTTAAGTTAACCTGAAATACACAAAATAAAGTAAAAGAAACAAATAATCACACCTGATTTTAATAAGGTAATAAATTAAAAGAATAACAAACCGATAAGTACAGCTGAGGTATTTTTAACATTAGGTATATGAAAAGTTCCCTTTATAAAGGAATTACGACCTTAAAGGGCAATTTATGAAATGATGGATAATTTTGCGCAAGGTTTCTCGTCATGACGAACATTTTAAGTATATGGTTTATGGGGGTGTGACTTGTAGTTTTCTCAAAAGTTCATGGGTACTTTTGGCTTTATATATAGATAAGTATAGTACTAATTGTTTCATGCTAATGACTAGTGGTAATTGTATTACTTAAAATTTATAGATCAGCCTAAGAACATTGTCGGATACATATTTTGTATACTGGTTAACGTTGTTTAGTCAATAAAATAAATTAACAAATAAACAAATAAAATGTTTAACAACAACAAACAAATTCAGGTCAAATTCAAAACAGACATTGAAGTATTATTATGAAGTTTTATTAAGTTATAATAAATAACCCATATTGTTTGGTTTCATAAAAAATAACTGTGATAAGGTTTTGTAAAAAAATACGTACAAAGGTTTTTTGACATTTTATTAGTGTAAAAATACAAAAATACATAGTAAATAAATAGGTGGGTGCTCCATTATGACTTGAGAAAAATTATTATATTGTATTTATTATATCAAGAATTAAATATAGACTGTCAGCCGTGCTGTGGTTACCATGGTTACCATGAGTTCTGGCGCAGACCGCTGGGAGCGCCGTGTAGTTACGTAGCGTGTACGCCGTAACTATATTGCGCTCCCAGCGGTGTGCTCCAGAACCTATGGTAACCGCAGCACGGCTGACGGTCTATATTTAATTCTTTTTGTATATGATTGTATATAACAAAATAATCATAATGGTATAATAAACCTTTTTTTAAGGAGTGGTCTAGCATAATTTACAATTCAATTCACAAATGTGTAATTTACACAAATATGAAATGTGTATCTGTGTTAATTTTTAAAATATTTATGTTTAACAGCACAATGTCTCCTAAGGTCAGTGTTACGTTTAGACTTGTAAGGACATAGAGGACATTGGAATTTAGGAGGAACGCCGCATTCCAGTTTCAAATGTTTCCTAAGGTCACGTTTATGCTTGTAGCTGCCGTTGCATCTGAGACAGTGGAATCGTCCGCCCTTTTCTAAGAAGTAGGTACTATCACCACCTAAGACAATTTTTAAAGTCAGTTACATTTTAAATTAATCTGATAATTAGAATAAATCTTAAAACTAATACAACTACTTTAATGTGAAAATTGGTAATTGTAATACATAAAAATTTTGGCAACAGCCTAAGGTAAATAGTAGTATACATATTGTATAATAGCTTTGACTATTAATACAACAACTTCTGTATCCAATAGTCAATGATAATAGTTAATATTGTTTAGATAAGCAACAATCACGTAAGGATAGTCTTAACGACACGAGTAAAAAATTTTACGTACGAGTCCTGGCGAGTAGCAAGTTAATTACACAAGTTGCGAACACTACTTTACCTACGACCGTTTCTTAATTAGTACAAAGCACTACTCATAACTCCTAGGTGTTTAACCTCTCATAGCCACTGATTGCGATGCAACAACTTATTGTCCCAACTACTCATTCATTATTTAAATAATTAAATTGGTCTTAACAGCTGATTAGTACGTCTTAAGCTTTGAGATATTACAATATTTCCTATTTACTTATTTTCTCTCAATCCTTGTCCTCATTGGTTCATTAGTCGTGTTGTGACGTAGAACAACAATGCTGTTAAGTGAATCTTTTCAATGTTAAGAACTGAACTGAAACGAATAGCTTAAAAATGGTCATAGGTAAAGTATTGTATACAACTGACGTACAGTAATTAGCCTTACGCGTTCAGTGCGTAAACTACTATAAATAAACTCTTACATGGTGCAGTTTGTTTGGCAATAAACTACTATAAAGGTTATTTTTTTTAAAGACGAGCACACTTTTTAAATAATTTTATTAGTATAAAAATACATATGGTTATTAACAAATTTTGGAATAAATAAATAAATTGAAAGTTTTCTGAATGCATTTTTAGTTTTCAAGTATGGAAGATTAGGTGAGTATAACTTCAATTAGGCCTATTGGAATTCTATAACCATAAAACAAATATGTGTTATTTCATGTACATTGTTTTATATGAGAACCCTGTCTAATCTTAAAGTTGTCTAAATCTAATTGTTTACTATTGTAGGCCATTCGTGTACAGTGTTATTTGAAAATATAGCCACATTAAACCGTTTGCAGAGCCGAAAACATCTCTCTAACCTAACAATACAAAATAAAGTCCAGTAAATATTTCAATATAGTCAAGTATGGCAAAATAAGATTAACTATATTTATATAACAAAATGTACAAACTGTTATCATGTTTTTTTTTTCTTTAAAGAAGTGGTATTATGTTACTTCTGATCTTAGTCAGTAACAAAGCTACAAATATCACCTTATCCCATTCAACACGTATCCTTCACTCATATTTTAAAATAGGCACCCAGGTGAATTCTTCATGTTAATAATTGATGAATTGATAATTACAATCACCACTTAAATATATAAAATCCGTTAATTTACAGCATGGTTATGTATAACAGCACAATGTCTTTTGAGGTCAGAGTTACGTTTAGACTTGTAAGTACATATAGGACATGGAAATTGACGAGGTACGCCACATTCCAGTTTCATGTGCTTTCTCAGGTCAGTTTTATGCTTGTAGTTCCGGGGGCATCTCGGACAGTAGAATCGCTCGTCCTTCACTCAGGAATCAGAACTATCACCACCTAAAGGTCATGTTTAAAGTAAATTATACATTTTTAATTAGACATATGTAATGAATATAAAACGTAATGAATAATGTAAGTCTGGTACTACTTGTTACTGGCGATTGTAATAGTTAAAATTTAGATGACAGCCTAAAGACAATAGCAGGATACATATTTAGTATAACTAACATTGTTTGGTGAGTATATTATAATAACCTTTTGCGTAGTACAATTTCAATTTGTTTCACCAAAAATCGATGTAAAAGGGCTTTAAAAAGATGTGCACAATTCTTTAAAACTTTATATTGGTATAAAAATACAAAATTAGTTTAAAAATTTAAACTAAAGAATTAATTTTATTTTATACATCTTTGGTTTTAAAGTACGGGAAAATTTGTGGGAAAACAACAGTATAAAAATACCAATGTTAAAAAAAATATCTTACAAATACCTTATTTTATTAAAGTGGTAAGCTAATGTTACTTACGATCCCTTCTTAAATATATCATTAATTTCTTAATTTATCAAAACGTTATGTATGATAGCACAATGTCTCCTTAGGTGAGCGTTACGTTTTGACTTGTGAGGACATATAGGACAATGGAATCGACGGGGAACACCGCATTCCAGTCTCATATGTTTCTTAAGGTCATTTTTATACTTGTAGTTGCTGGGGCATCTTGGACAGTAGAATCGTCCGTCCTTCAATAAGGAGTCAGAACTATCTCCACCTAGAGATCAAGTTTAAAGTAAGTTATACATTTTTAACGAATCAAATTTAATAAATCTTAAGTCTGGTACTAACTGTTTCACGCTAATGATTGGCGGTGTTTTTAATAGCCTACTTAAAATGTATAGGTTAACCTAAAGACAACAGTCGGAAACATATTTTTCCACAGTTACCCGCTAAAGCAGTCTTTCTTCAACTGATTATAGCACGCTAATTAGCTAATTCGTGCATTTACTTATTTTTGCCACACTTATTTTACTTTTCCGCACTCATTTTTTGCCGCACTCCAGTAGTTCAACCGAACAACACAAAACCGTATGCTATTATTAGGCATGTAATATGTGTAAACTAGAAAATAAGGTGGCAACACTAGGACTACGATCAAATAGTACAGGGTTCCCCTTTTTCTTTACGCTTTTTATTTAAACTAACCTAAAAAATTAGTTTAGTCTTTGAAAGACTAATTATTTCTATGCTTTATAGTAATTGTAGGAAAATATAATGTGTAATGTGAGTGAAAATTGTCTTTGCTGCACTCGAGAAACTTTCCACACTCGCATGCACAAATAATTATTGTATACTAGCAGAGTACCCGTCCTTCGTACGGGGTTGGCATGTAAGTATAAAGTGACATTAGCGTATGGTTTGACAGCTCCATTTAAGTAATGTTAAATAATGTTTACATTCAGGATAGTGACATAATTATTTTAAATATGATCCTTACCCTCTCTGTTCTAACATTCATGCAGTATTTAAATGAATGTTTGAACCAGCTGTATGGAATTGTGAAATCAAAATTAATTTGACAGTTAGTACTGCTTGTTTACATTTTTAAACTTTGTATGTTTGTTCTTTGTTGTCATGGATACCATCAATCAAAATTTACTCTGAAATCTCTCACCTCCGATTTTTGAAAGCCCACGGGGCATAGCCCTAGGACAATATTGAAGCGGGAATAGTTCTATATGTATCCTCGGAACTGTAGCTTCATGTGTGTGCAATTTGAGCCCAATAGGTTCAGTAGTTTTTGAGATTAGCTCATACAAACACACACACACACAGACACCACCTCTTCTTTATAATAGTATATAGATAGATAGATAGATAGATTAGTTCCAATTGTTTAGTTAATATATTTAAATACTGTCTTCAGTGGCGCAATTTCATTATTTTACCAAACAACGCTGTAAAAAGGGTTTGTAAAGAAACATGCACAATTCTTTTCAACTTTTTATTGATATAAAAATACAACAGGTTGTATAAAAATCTTCAACAAATAAATTAAGTTTTTATAAATATGTATATCTTTAGTTTTAATGTATCTTATTTCTTTAAAGTGTCTAACGTTACTTACAATCTTTACTTAAATATATCACAGAGTTGTTAATTTAGAAAAAGGCCATGTTTAACAGCGCAATGTCTCTTAAGGTCAGATTTACGTTTCGACTTGTAAGGACATAGAGTACATGGGAACTGACACGGTACGCCGCATTCCCATTTCAAATGTTTCTTCAGGTTACCTTTATACTTGTAGTTGCCGTTGCATCTTGGACAGTAGAACCGCCCATCCTTCACTAAGTAGTCAGAACTATCGTCACCTAGGGACCAACTTTAAAGTAAGTTTTACATTTATAAGGAATCAGATGTAATAAATCTTAAGTATAATAATACTTATTTAGTGCTAATGAATTAGCGGTGTTAGTAATAATTACATTGTATAGAAAAGCCTAAAGACAATAGTCAGAAACATATTTTCTTTCAGTTACCCGACAAAGCGGGCTTTCTTAGCTAATTGATGCAATTACAGTACTTACTTTTGCAACACTCATTTTACTTTTGCAACACTCATTTTACTTTTGCCACACTCATTTTTTGTCGCACTCCAGTATAAGGCAAGTAATACGTGTAGGCCTACGCTTGAAAAAATAAGTTGGCAACAACTTCCCATTTCACGTTCACGCTTTTTATTTAACCTAACCTAACACGTGTTGTTTACTGTTTTTTACTAATTATTTCCATGCTTTATAGAAACTGTTGGGAAAATGTTAATGAGTAACGTAAGTGCCACATTGGACTTTACCACTATACGTAGTAACTAAACACTTTGCACACTACATATACAAATAATTATTGTATATTAGATCCAATTATTTAGTTAATATATTATAATACTCTCTTAGGTGGTGCAATTTAATTACTTTACCAAACAACGCTGTAAAAAGGGTTTGTAAAAAAGCATACAGAAATCTTTTAAACTTTTTATTGATATAAAAATACAACAGGTTATATAAACATCTTTAAATAAATAAATTAAGGGTTTATGAATACATCTTTAGTTTTTTTATGGAAGAAAAGGTGAGAAAAACTTCCTATTAAATTAGCAGAACTCGACAACTAAGAAAAGTATATATTTTCTTATTTTATTGATAGAAGTTGTCCATGTGCAATACCTTTTTACAGTTGAAGTCCATCACAGTATTGTATTATTGGAAAACATAGCCACATTATACCGATTACCATTTATAGAAACCATTAATCTAAACTGATAATACAAAATAAAATTCATTTAATATTTAAAGGCGGTCAAGTATGACTGCAATTATGTAACGAAATGAACAGACTTTTATAATTAATTTTATTTCTTTGAAATAGTGGTCTAGTGTTACTTACAATCTCTACTTAAGAGTCCTTGTAGCCTAGATGTTCTAACTCGTTAAACAATTAAAAAACTACAAACACAATTTCTAATCTCGCAGTATACTAGATATTTAAATTACAATCACTGTGGTGTTTCTACAAATATTTTGAGATGGTAAAGAACTCCTCAGCGGCTGTTTGAAATGAACAAAATCAATATTGCTCTTATGGCGGGCAAATTCAATAGACTCAATAAACTTTGTGGACTCCTTTGGAGAACAATCCAAAACTACAAAGAACATTTCTAATCTCACAGTATACTAAATATTAAAATTATGATCACTTAGGTGTTTGAAAAAATATGTTTAGCCAATAAATAACTCTTCAGCAGGTGTTTTAAACTATCCAAGATGGCCGCTAGCCTCCAAGGACTCTTAAATCACGGATTTGTTATTTTAGAAAATGGTTATGTTTAACAGCGCAATGTCTCTTTAGGTCAAAGTTACGTTTCGACTTGTAAGGGCATAGAGGACATGGGAATTGACAAGGTACACCGCATTCCCATTTCAAATGTTTCCTCAGGTTACGTTCATACTTGTAGCTGCCGTTGCATCTGGGACAGTAGAATCGCCCGTCCTTTTCTAAGAAGTCAGAACTGTCTTTACCTAAGATCAAATTTAGAATAAGTTGAATTAATAAATTCTAAGTTTTTTAATTACAGATATAGAGATTATTAAGATATGGTTCTTGTAGCATAAAAATAAAACTAGGTGTAAAATGCAGTTATCTGCTTGCAATATTGAGCTATCATATTAATCCAATAGTTTTGGGAAATGTAACCACGAAATAGTTCTTAATGGGCTCGGGTTCACATACAAATGGGTTGTCTATTTGCAGAATCTTAAGTCAATGGTTCATAGGCTCTAATTGGTATTTCATTTTTATGATACGCTCAACAGTATCAGACCGTTCTTTCTTTTTATTTTGTACATGACAAGCACTAGCTTGTATGCATTGTTTGTCAAAGACATGTGTTAAAAAACCTTTTGTTTACCTTTGTATCTATTACAAAAACTCAATCAGGACCATGGACTAATTAATAAGCCCAACAGTCCGATTTATACCATTTCACAATTCTACTTTTCCATAGTTAGTTACTATGACTACTCTGAATTCCATGTTGATCCTTTCAGCCGTTCTGGAGAAGCATATGGAAAAAGCACGAGTGTAGTATACGAATTTCGCTCAGCTCAGTTAAAAACTTTTGGTTGGTAAAAAAATTAATAAATCCTTCCTTAATGTACACGGTGGCAACCAGGTGCATATTATTTCCAATTAGATTAACTGCAAAAGAAGATGTTATAAACAATAACAGTACTGTATGTATTTTCTCTTATAGTACCTAAAAGTTTTTGTTCTTGATTCTTGATTAACATAACTTAAAATACTTAAAAGGCATGTCAGTTAAATACTATTGCAGTATGGTATTGTAAAAAAATACAATACAATGATCTCCAAATAAAAAACACTATTCTACCAAATAAAGTTCGGTAAATAGATAAAGACGTAATATAACAACAAAACATAACATTTTATTTCATAGTAAAACATATTCTAATAATATTTTTAGTTTCCAAAGGTTTCCAACGTCACATAACATACAAAAAACTATAACAAAAGTGTTAATCTAGTAAACTATTATGTTTAACAGCACAATGTCTCCTGAGGTCAGAGCTACGTTTCGACTTGTAAGGACATAGAGGACATTGGAATCTATGAGGTACACCACATTCCCATTTTAAATGTTTATTCAGGTTGCGTTCATACTTGTAGCTGCCGTTACATCTGGGACAGTAGAATCGCCCGTCCTTTTCTAAGAAGTCGGAACTCTCTTTACCTAGATCAAATTTAGAGTAAGTTAAATTAATAAATTTGAAGTATTTTAACCACTATGGTTCTTGTAGAAAAAAATTAAATCTAGGTGTACAATGCAGTTCACACAAAATAGTTCTTAAAAAGCTCAGGTTTAAATAAATGGGACATAAATGGGATATTTGCAGTATCTTAAGTCAATGGTTCATAGGCTGTAATTGGTATTTAATTTTTATATTATGCCATTGACTATGCTCAACAGTACTAATCAGACAGTTTTTTTTCTTTTTGTTCTGTACATGACAAGCACTAGCTTGTATAAATTGTTTGTCAAAGACATGTGTTACAAAACCTTTTGATTACCTCTGTATCGTGTTATAGCAAAAAATTGCATAAATGAAATGACTTGATTCTTGATTGGCCTGACTTAAAATACTTATAAGTCATGTCACTTAAATACTATTACAGTTCGGTATTGTTGAAAAACAGACAATACTATGGTTTCCGCATCAAAAACATTATTCTACACTAATACTGTAATCACAAATATATTTCAGTAAATAGATAAAGACGTAGTATAACAACAAAGCATAAAATGTTATTTCATAGAAAAACAGATTCAAATAACATTTCTAGTTTCCAAAGGTGTGGTCTAACGTCGCATAACGTATAAAAAACTATAACATAAGTGTTAATCTAGTAAATGATTATGTTTAACAGCACAATGTTTTCTGAGGTCAGAGTTACGTTTAGACTTGTAAGGGCATAGAGGACATTGGAATCGACGTGGTACACCACATTCCAATTGTATATGTCTCATAACGCCACCTTTACTCTTGTAGTGGCAGGGGCATCTTGTACAGTGGAACCGCTCTTCCTTAACAAAGAAGTCGGAGCTATCTTCACCTAAGGGATAATAAACAGTAAGTTCAACTTAATTTATTGTTGGATATTTAAAAATCCAAACCAAAAGAAGAACATTTTGTAAGTCAAAGAGTGATGTTAATGCTATAAATTATTAGAAGTTGGGCCCTTATGCTGTGCTTTAAAAAACTTCCAAATCCTACTTAGATATGTTTATTTTTGGTCACAGAATAAACAAAACTTGAATGTTATTTGAATAAATGCAATCATCAACAAAATATGTAATTCACGAGAATATGTAAGAATTGTTAAACCCATAAGGCCCATGTTGAATTTCCAAGTTCGAATCCAAGTAGATTATAAGAAGGAGAATATATGTAACTAATTCACTAGCATCTGATATGTAAAAAAAGTTACAGCACATCAAGACTTAATAGCACTTTTTCAATTGATGAAAACTATTTGCTTTAAAACTTGAAAAAATATTCACAACCAAGATAAGAAAAACAATAGAACAAAATAAACAATATACCTACCAATATAACAATACATTAGAATCTATAACTAACGTTTTTTAAAGATAAATTTTAATAGTTTTTTTTCTCTTGTTAGAGTATAATTAGATTAAGGAACCTTGATATAAATTAGATATAAATTGACCATGTACCAGCTTGGGAATTACTTGTGTAATTATTGTATCAGGTGTCATGTACAATAAAGCTTCGTCTATTGTCTATTGTCTAATTTATATATCTGGCCAGGGTGTAAAATTCCTGGGGTAAAAATTCGGGGGGTAAAAATCTGGGGGGTAAAATTCTGGGGGTAAAAATCCGGGCCGTATATTCTAAGTTTTTATAATTTGATGTGTTCTGATTAAATATGCTTATTTCCGCGTTTAATCCATCAAGCTGATGTCTCGAAACTCAAAAGTTCGCGGCCAGAATTTTACCCCCTGGTTTCTGAGATCACGTTTGCCCAGGGGGAAAAAATCAACTACCCCAGAGATCAGTGCAACAACCGCGCGCCGGTGTCAGTGACCAATGACAGTGACAGTGACAGAGTAGTGACAGAAATAGTAATAAATCCTGTAAAGGGGTTGGTAGAAGCATTGCAAATTAGAATAATCTCGGCATTAGTTAGGTTTAGGTAGGCTTAGTTAGGTTATTATAATTACTGTTTTTAAAGAATATTAGTG